TTGGACATGTAGCTCAGTTGCACACCGTTTGCCTACTATTAAAGAGACCCTGGGTTCAGTTTCCAGCACCATTAAAAATAATAATAATAAGAGTGCTTATGAGTCAAAGAAATGGTCAAGAGAGTGATGAAAAGGTAAGGAAGGTAATACACTAAATGGAAAAAATATGTTCATAAACAGTAAACCTTTGGTTCGCAAGTATAGTTCATTCTAGAAACATGCTTGTAATACAAAGCACTTGTATATTAAAGAAAATTTCTCCATAAGAAATAATGGAAACTCAATCTTGGACAGTGAGCCACAGTAGTAGCCAAGCAGTGCTCTTTTGCTGAGGTGGGCCTGGTTGTCATTCTTTTGCCAGGGACCCACCAGACAGGACCCTAGGAGGGGATTTCATAGCAAGTCCAAGAAAAGATAACTATAGAGTGAAAAGTAACAAGAATAAAGGCCTAAATTCTCAAGAGATATGTAGAAGAAAAGAAGGAATACAACTTTGAAAACATAAAAGGGAAGAATACTTATTCAAACACAGAAATGTTTCTTTGCCCAGAAAAAACTCTGTTAAAACGTCCTATCCAGGATCCAGGTGTCAGTTCCACTGTTACCCATTCCAGAAGAAGAAGCTATTGTCAAAGATATGGTTCAGATGGTGTTTTTCGAATAATGTGAATCAACTGCTAATGGCAATGCAGAAATTTAGAAAACTCCTTTCCAAAGGCAAGGATTGTTTTTAGTGTGATTATTTGAATATAGGATTGTATAGTAGGGCTTCATTTTGTTAAATTTTTCTAGAAATTTTAATAAAGGGGGTGGGGATTTAGCTCAATGCCTGCCTTGCAAGCACAAGGTCCCCAAGTTCGATCCCTGGTACCAAAAAAAAAATTTTTTTTAATACAACTTTCTTTGCTAGACACAGTAGGTCTTGATTTCTTTCTAAAATAATAAATTTTAAAAATCTGTTTTTAGGGCCGGGAATTTAGCTCAATGGTGCCACCACCTGCCTCACACGTGCAAGGTTCTGAGTTCGATCTCTGGTACCAAAAAAAAAATTGATTTTTAAAGATATTATCAAAGTATTGTATTCATAAAAGAATTTAAAGAAGCAAGCATATGACTAATCTTGATGCCAAAAAAGGTTATAAATTATTATTGAAATATTTTTCATAGTATTTTTAAATAGTAATATAACATTATAGAATATGAATTTAAAATAGTAATTGAGACCTTAACTCTTTCCCAATTTTTAAGTATTGTAACCATTTCTATAGAAACTGTTGTATAGTCTAAAACTTCCTTGACATACATTCATAAAGGTGAAATGGTCAGAGCAATAAACTTAATTTACATTCTCATCTGCAGTTTGAACAAGTATTTATTTTACTGTATTTTTATCAACACAGTTTTTTTATGTTACAGTTCTTTGTATGGTCCTTTTTTTTGATAATTAGTTCTCCTCTTTTTTGACCCTTCATAATTCAGAATTGTCTGTTATTTACTCAGTTTTATTTTGAGCTGACAAGAATCATGAAATAAAAACTTAAGCTTAAAAAAAGAAATAAAACTCATGATTTGTTCTACAACCCAAAAATATTCACATAAAAAATGATTACTATGATATAATATAAAATAGTAAAATACAAAATATAAAGAAAAATTAACTTGCACTTCCCTTTGAATATAAAAATTTCATTTGATCCAGATATTCTCTTCCTAGATATCTTTCCAGGGGTGGGGGGTATTCTCCCCCACCCCTGAACCAGGGATCAAACTCAGGACTTTGTGCTTGTCGAGCAGGCAGAGCAAGCTGAGCTACACTGAGCTACATCCCTGGCTATATATACATACATATTCTTTTTTTCCAGTACCAGGAATCAAACTCAGGACTTTATGCTTGGTAGGCAGGTGCAGGGCCACTGAGCTACATCCCTGCCCCTTAGGTATCTTTCCAACAATATAAAGTTATTATTTTACAGGGATATGTGCATAGCTGTGTTGGTGGCATCATAATTTATAAAAGCTAGATCTCTGAAACAGTATATGTGTCCATCAACAAATAAATGAATAAGGAAAATGTTTCTGCACAGTGAAATACTACTCTGCCATTAAGAAAATAAACATGACACCCATGTTTATAGCGGCACAGTTTGTAATAGCTAAATCTTGGAAACAACCTATTTGCCCATCCGTTGGAAACTGGATAAAGAAGTTGTGGTTTTTCTATAAAATGGAATATTACTCAGCCATAAAGAGCGAGAGAATAGATTCATTCATAGGAAAATGGATACATATTGAAGATATACTCCTAAGTGAAATAAATAA